ACTAATAGCGATGTGGTATTTCCATTTTCTAGTGGCTTCTTCAGTTTGCTTTTGCTAGTTTGTTCTTTAAAAATGAGAGAAGACAAGGTATATAGTTGGCAAGTGAAAGCAAGTGAAACCTGTTGACGGGTTGGCAGAGAAATAAGGAAGCCTTATGTGTAAAGTGATAGGGGTAAATTTGTCATTTCAGTATTTTATCCATGTATTACTAATACATGTATTAGTTATTCCATCTTCTACCCCGCATAAAACAATACACAGATTGACTCATAACTTATACATGTATTATTTATGCATAATTGAAAAATGTCAATCAAATATGGTATTAATTATGCAGAATTTTATATAAAATAACTATTGCCTACCAAACATGGTATAAATTATATTATTCCTTATACATGAATAATCTTTTTTCTAACCAGCTACCAAACGACCTCTAAGAGTCCAACAAGAGTACGATATGCTAATCCATATAGAAAAAGAAGCCTACAGGCGGTGAAGGTTTTCTATTTACATGTAAATTGGGGAAGACTCCTTTTACGGTAAGACAAGGAAAACATATCCTAAAGTCCAACGTGGCATGCAAGGAAAAAAAGTTAACCCCCTTAATAAATGATCATCTATGTCGTATGGGGTCAAAATACATGATCCACGTCATTTTCAACATGGGGTTCTTTTGAGATGTACACCATGGGAATTAAAATTCAAATGTTGCTGATGGTAGGCAAATCAAATGCCGAATCAAGATGAGTACAAGAGCTTGACCAACATTATTTAAGTTTAATTGTTCCATAGACTGCAAAATACACACTACTTGAAATAGGTTCTATGGGGTATTAAAATATTTCTCCGGTATTTCAAGTCTCGTCCTTAAGATTTGACAGGTTAATTTTAACAAGTTTTGAACTGTATTAATCATTTATAGCTATACTTACAATTCGCTATATTTGAATTTTATAGCAAATCTATGAAATAAGAGATTAATTGTTTTGAACTGAAACAAGAGAGCAACAAGAGCGATTGCTTAGCTAGCAAAGGTCTTCAGTTTGAATCTGTTGGTGTTAGTGCATTTTAATATTAAAGTGCATTATTTCTTGTGAGATAGTAGTTATAAATTGGCAAGAAAATGGTCATTATTTTAGTGTAACTCTTGAAACCACTAATACCATGATCTACCACTAATTACCCACTAAAGATTATATTTTGTTACCAACCATGTTCTACTATTTTATTATCCCACTATCTTATTATTCATTTCATGAAAGAGATTCTACACCTATAAATAGTGGTGTTTCTTCCTTGTGTTGTAGATGGGAAAATATGATAGTGTGTATGAAAAAAGTGAACTTGGTGTAGAGAAAGCGCGTTAAGAGAAGAAGAAAATCTAAGTCTCCAACTTACTCTCTACAAAAGAGAATAGTATTATTTTTGTTGAAGGAAGGTGTTCATTTTGGTGGAGCTTTGGACTCAACAACTTGTCCAGAGTTTGTTCGAGTCATGCAACGTTGCCGGGCTGTTGTATCCTGGAGGGGACAAGTTAAGAGTATTACTGCTGGACAGGTGAAGATGATACCGCAGTGGGCTTGAATCTCCTTAAAGAGAGCGAGATATTCGCGCCTCAGCCTGAAGAATATTTATTTATTTTTCAACTGTAATTACTTGTAATTTCACCAACAAAATCTCAATAAGAACATTTTATTTTTCTGTATTTCGCCTTAATTGTATTCGTTGCGCGCTTGAATACAAGTGATATAAGTTAGTATTAATTGAACAGTAACTACCAATAATAATTAACTAAATTATACTAATTATTAGATTTTAAACTATAGTGATTTATGAATATTCCTCTGGGATAAACGTTGGGCCCATCACAGTTTATGGGAACTTGTATAGTACTTGGTTACTTCAAAAATAAGAAAACTATGTGTATGCCCATAGGAATCCGCCAAAAGAGAGCTATATTGGCGTACGTGGAAGAAAGTTGTGCTCTAACTCAGCTAATAAATTGTGTTGTACGTGTCCTTTCCAAGTTTGACACAAAGAAGTCACACTAAGGTAGGTACCTCTCATCATCAACACATACATTATCTTATTGGTAATTAAGCATCTTCATTACAAAACTAGACTTTTATAAATTAGTGTTCAATTGCCGGTGACATGTTCTAGTTTCCTACTATACGCTTATTAAGCTGACTTGAAAAGATAGTACAAGAATAAAACCATGATGGTACAAGAGGAAAATATGAATTAAATTACACTGGCTTTGAACTTTATGTGTTTTGCGAGCTTTTACATTTTTGTGCTAACTGAAAAAGACTTTGTAAAGGTGAAAAACAGGGGAAAATAAATAATAGTTAGGGCTTGACTGAACGTAATTTGTCTTATTTGCTGTTGATTGCCGCTTATGCTCAAGTCATCCCTTTTTTCATGTTCTTTTTAGCACAACAAGTTATTCCCATTTCCCTGGCAACCTGAATAATACTACTAAATGTCTTTATTAGCAATAGAAACAACCAAAAAGAAACGAATTAAATTTTCTTTAGCTCATTTTAAGTATTAACCGACAACCTAGACGTATTACCATGGAGACAGAGACTACAGGTCGAGAGTCCACTGGTTGGAAACCTGTCAAATCTGGTTTGTGGATTTACGACTCTCAAAGCAAACTAAGGCTGTATTGTGGTCCGGGCCCAGCCCGGGACCGGCCCGGGACCGCGAGCCCACATGGGCTTTGGGCTAAACGGGTTGACCCGTATGGTCCGGTCCCAAAGCGGTCCTAAGAGTCCACTGTGGGCCGGTCCAGCATGGAGAGACCGCGAGCCGGGGATCGTTTAGCCCGGGACCGGCTGGTGGGCGTGGGCCGGTTCAACCGGGCCCAACGGCTATTTTTCAATTTTTTTTTGTTTTTTTAAAATTGGCCAACGGTCGGAAGTTTAAAAACTAGCCGTTGGCCTGCCAATTTAGTCGTTTCGCTTTTTAAAAAATAGCCATTTGCCCCCCAAATTTTGTTTTAACCCCAAACTTTTTATAACCCTTGTTTTCAATTTACCGATAGTCAATTTTGCCATGATATTGCACCAGGTCAACAATTAAATGATGAATATATGAATGCTCTTTAATCGAACTATCGATGAAAATGATGAGGAAAATGATGATTTAGATGAAACGCAACCGGATTTAGATGATACACCTAGTATTCCAGTTGTTAACCCAACTGATAATAATCCAAATGATGCCCCCCTGACCCTCCTGTAGTAACCCCTACAGGACTTGCAGCACTTGCAGATTTGTTTACTCAATTTTCAGAGGGAGGGATAATTTATCAACTTGCTATTAATTCTATGAAAGATAAGTTTAAAACATATTTTTTCCCTATCCTCCCTATTTTTGGTGTTGCTGCCATGTTAAATCCTACCATGAAATTAGGAGGTCCTCACTTTTGGTATACAAATATTTATAAGGCTTTATCACTTTCAGATGAGGAATTTGCTACACTTGAAGATGCAAAAGCCTCAATTAAAATAAATGCTCAAACAATTTATAATGCTTATTAACTTGCCTTAGATCATGCTAGACCAAATGTTCCAACTCCTACTTCGTCTAGTTCGCAATCATCTAAAAGAATTGCGGGCCTAAAAGCACTTAGTTCTTGGACGGAGTTCAGGGGTTCTCAAGGTGATAATATTGGTGATAGTTCACAACTAAATGAGCTTCAAGTTTATTTGTCGCAGGGACTTGAATCAGAGAATCCCGATGGCTCCTTTGATGTTTTGGAATGGTGGAAGGACAAAGAAAAAAACTATCCGGTTCTTTCAAGGATGGCTCGAGATATTTTAAGTATTCAAGCTTCAACAATGGCATCGGAGGGCGCTTTCAGTCAAGCGAGACTTCAAATCGGTGATCATAGAGCGCCTATGAGGGAGAGCTTGGAAAAATCAGTACTCTTCAGAGATTGGATTCGTTCGGAAAGAAGAAACTTTGGACTTGCTGAATTACAACCGGAGATAGACGAAGCTTATGAAGAAATGCTAACGGAACTTGCGGAGGATGCTGCTTCGCCCGGAAGCGGTGATGAACAAGCTTCTTTTCCGCCACCACCAACGGAAATTCCTCCGAACCTTGAAGGATTTATGAAATTTGTTAGAGATAATATGTAGACTAATATGTAACTTGTATTTTGGCACATCTTCATTAGTTTTTTTTCTTTTAATGGTCGTATTAGCACCTTGTTGTGCTCATTCCATTGGGGGGGGGGGGGGGGGGGGAGACTAAGAAAGATATTGCCACTTTTTTGTTAATGTTGTAATAATAAAAATTATAAGGTATTCCCTTGAATATTTCTTTACAATTTTTTTGTGTTTAAATTTGAATTAGAAGATTTAAGTCACAATTATATAATATAATTTACAAGAAATTGCCTTAGATAAAAAAAATTAAAAAAAAATAGCCCGGAACACGCCCGTGAGCCCGGCCCATTTAGCCCAGGACCATGTGGGCTTAGGCCCACAGTGGGCCGGTTCCACCCTCCAGGACCGTTAAGCCCGGGACTATTTGGCCCGGGACCGTCAGAGCTCGGGACCGTTTGGTCCGGCCCGTTTAGCCCCGGGACCGGACCACAATACAGCCTTAAAGCAAACCCCTGACTCAAAGGATAAAATCCCGCAATTTTTAAAGTCAAAAGGCTAGGTTCGACTCTGTTAGATCATTTTTCTAGTTTATGGATTCGTACTCGGGCACCAAAACTGCATTCACTAGCCGATTGACCAGAGTTTTGATTGAGAAATGAATGATATAAGCAAAAACGTCGCTCCAGTTAAATTTATGTGTGTTTATTCGAAAGGGCACAGAAGAAAGGTGCTCTTATTTAAAACAGTATCAGATTTCTCCAGGGTAAGAAGTTTAGTCTAGTGTGTTAAAGGTAAACTTATGAGACGATATCGAAGAACAGACAACAGTGCCTGCCGCTTACTTAGCACTACATCAAGATACAGCTCAAAGCATGAGGGAAATATCAAATCTGCCATATAAGGAACACAATATTACGCCGATCTCACAATTTAGCAATTTGACAACGTTTACAGACCATATAAAAGGACGGGAAAAAAGAAATAAAAAAATGAATCCCTATTGCTATTTTGGCAATTTACAAAAAAAAAAACCTGACTGATAAAATATATAAGCAACGGAATTCCCTCTATATACACACATCAGTTTAAGAGGTAAAAAAAAAGCCTAAATAGTTAACAAGACTGAAAGACTGAGGACTCTATCCTGCTATGCTATCTAGTTGAACTTACCTTTGGTAGTAAATCGCATGTTCGCGCTATAGGCCCCTGCAAAATAGTCTTTTCCTGCGTACAAATACTTTCAAGAGAACAGCACACGGAAATTTTAGACCACAATAAGCTGGTACTTCACTGATAAGAATTCCTGGGTACAAGTTAAGAGACCAACTTTTTTCTTTTGTATAACCTTTTTTCCAAAATGTAATCCCCCCACCCCAACCCCAGATCCAGGATCCCAATAATGGCCCTTTTCCACTTTATTCCCTTGGAGACTCACATCGCCGACTTATGGTTGGAGGTGCAGGGTCTTTACCACTGGGCTATCCTTCCATCATCAAGTCAGGTTACCAACTTTAGAGCTAATATAAGTGGATCTCAAAGCAAATTCAAAGGAGAACCACTGCAGACAACAATTCATGCAACAAATAGTTCTTTGCTGTGCCATTAACCTAGTGTTCACAGCCTTAAGAGATCATTGAGCATCACAAGCTTTACGGCACCATCTCCGCCACATGTAAGAAAACCATGAGGAACAATTTGAATATCTGTTACAGCTGCCTGAAACGCAGGAGAAAAAATCCCTTTAGTTTTGCAAACTCAGGATCTCGGTAATTCTTCTTCCAACTATTCATGCATCTGATCAAAAAAGTTACCTGTACCACACCACCAAAGCCGCGGGAGCTTGGCTGCAAGAAGGTGTGTCTTTCATGTAATTTTGGCCAATGAAATACTAATTTTGCATTTTTGGCATCCCAAAGTTTTACATCTCCATCTTTACTTCCCGTCAAGAAAAAGCTGGTATGTGGTATGGTTGATATTTTGGTAACACTCCCTGCACGAGATAAAGTAGAATTAGAGAAAAATCTCATTATGTACTGCCAATCAACTATCTACAGCATTTTCAGCCACAATCATCTAAAATGGTCCAATACCTGTGTGAGCCTTCGGAATATACCAGAGCATCCCGTTACGATTCTGATCACCGGTTTTCTTCTGCATGTCAACCATAGAATTCACACCATGATCACCAATTTCTGTATGCTTCTGTCTTTTTACCTTTCCAGTAGCTATGTACCGGAAGTCATGAAGTCCAACATCACCACCTTTCCCACCCGTCACAATGAGGGGGGAAATAGAACCACTTCCTAAATCATTATCAAACACTGCTAGAGAGCGTGCACCTCCTGGAAACAAGAACAGGGTCAATAATCTTAGCAAGCTAAAAGCTTATAACGGCTAATGAACTAAACAAAGACCATTATCAAGGTTTTGCTAAGGTTCTGAAGAAAAGCACTACATGTACACTTTAAGTGGCTTATACCTATTTTCTTGCCAAAAAAGACAGTCACTGAGAATCCGCCATTTAGCTCTTGACAGATGAAATGTCCCTCTCTCTCAATCCTCCTCAGAATCCACCAATAATCCATATACATGTAGAATTTTCTTCTCATGAAGGTCACACATTTTCCTAGACAAGAGCTTTATCCTTTTGCTGTCGAGTAGAATTCTTCTACTTGAGGGTTCTATATAGATTAGGTTCACTTTGTTACTAATATCTAGGGTGTTTAATCTTAAATTAAATGTTCTACCTTATGCTTTAAATTTGGGTCTTCGCTAAATTCTCTTTAATTGCTTTTCTAGCTTATTGTTATTCCTATCCTTGTTCCTATCATTTAAAAACTGACATTTAAGAATAAATTGACATATCTTAGTTCTGCAATTGTCTTTTTGCTAGAACTTAATATTAGGAACTGTCCCTGTTCCTTCACAAAAAGGAAAACGTATTAACAAACAAACCTTCATGACACATTATGGAGGCTCGAGATGTCGCTGGTGGAGCAAGTGTGTCCCATATGACAACGTTAACGCCACTGGAGCTATATCCCGCCGCAGCTATGATTGAACCACTTGACGTAACATATGTGACATCCCTGCAGTCATTGCAAGGCACAGCAGGCTTTATAAGAAAGCAAAAGATGGAAACTATAGCAAAAGCTTAACGACTGCATAGCAAGGAGCAGGAGAAACAGAAAACAAGGAAGATAAATGTAACTGCTTCAACTTTCAAATCACTCCGACAATGTTACTAGTTGGAACTGAAATTCATGGTGTCCTTGCGGTTGCTAATAACACAACGAAAGACCAAGTACAAGTAAGGAAAAATAGAAACAATTTCAAATGCTTCCAGCCCCCCGTCACCATCCAAAGACAGTATAGAGCATCTGGTGGTTACAGGGTGGTGTTAGGTACTGGAGAGGCACCAAATAAATAAGAAAGCTTTTCCTTTAATAATATATCAGTTCAGCTTTGAGACAATTTTGAGGAGATACTAATACTTAGTTTCAATTTATTATAATACTTAAACAGGAAGTTCATACAATTTTCGCTGCTTATGGTGTATGGTAATTAAGGAAAAGAGAAGGTTAAGGCCTCCGAATGTTATTAAGTAGCAATGAGGCACTAAAGTACAAAGAGAGAATATCCAAAAATCTAACTTTTCAATTTGGATACAATTTTGTGGAGATATTAATGCTCATTCCACCTAACATAAAGTTAACACGATTTGGGTGCTTACGATGTATAATTATTAAAGCAAAGAGAGGATTCTGTTGGCCGAATGTTACTTCTGCCTCCTACTTCAAGCTGCCACGTGCACACAGTACCATCTGAAGCAGCAGATACGAATCTGTGACCACAATGATCAAATTTCACGGCAGATACAGAAGCAAGAACATATGGTGGAGGGACATTTGCAGCAGGAAGCACTCCATATGTTGCAGTAGCTCTATCTTTGCCAAACTGCAGATATCAAAATTTATTCTAAATACCATATCTTAAGAAACCACAATAACACAAGTATGTGACGAAACAAGTTTTCAATCTCATGTAAGAACAACGAAAAAGACATAGCCTACAAACAGTAAAAGAAAAAGAAAATGGCCACACATATCGTGCCACTGCATGAAGATTACTTAATACTTACTAATTTGCAAGTACAGAATATATTCTACATTCCTTTTAGGAGTCAAACTTGCTCAAGGTGCAAATTAAGCCTTACTGTTGCAACTGCAAAAAGATCTAACTAATCTGTTGATCGTAATGTTTTACCTCCCACAAATATATGTGTGTATTGCTCGAGCCAACCAAGAAAAAAGGCATTGAAGGGTGAGTTGAGAATGCCCTTGTCCTAACATTTTCTACTGTGGCAGGAGGGTCAAGAAACTCATCAAAATCCTCTTGAACTCCCCAGCCAAGATTGGATCCACCCGTATTGGCATAACCTGGAAGCCCAAATGTAGGTCTTGCCAGAAAACCTGCGCCAACAGTTGCTCCACCTAGCCCGAGGTGTGTGCCCTTTTTACTCCCGAGACCCACTCCAGGAGAGACGCAAGTAGGAATTGGTGTAGAATCGGATCCCGCCCAACCATTATGTGGCCAATCAGCTTCTGCCCAGACATTATCAGATCTGTTCGCACAAGGAAGCCCATCTTCCCAATTGAAGAATAATAATCCCTGAATCAGACAGAAGTAGATGTCATTGACTTTACAAATATAGAAGACTACTGGGAAATTTAAATGTGAAACAAATAAAATAGACATATTTACTTTATCGCCAAACTGTAATGCGCAGAGTCTAAAGACCAGAATAGGAATTTACTATGAATGTCTAACAGGCAAAATACTTCTGAGTAATATAACAATATCAGAAGGCAGCCAACTGATATTTATTCATCAATAAATCTCTTAAAAGCAAAATACTTTCCACTTATTATCCCTATTTAAAAACTAAGATCAGAATAATTTTCTGCACAATGAAATGATGAATTTGCAAAAGATCAGAGTTCACGGGAAGCGTGAAGCATCAGATACAAATTTCTCCTATTGAAGTGACTGTTGGGATACATTTGAGACACTGTAGAATTTGTACCGTTGATATTCCCACACAATATAACAAGTTGGATACAGCGAACATGAAAGATACCACGTGACTCATCTTTAGATTCACTTATGCCTCTCTCATATCATAAGTACACCTCTCAAAGTTCATAATAACCATGAGGTACCATGCTCTTAAAGTTTCACGAACATGCAGCCAAAACAGTTTAACATCTCCATTTACCCCACCCCAAACATTTCAACTTATCCCAGTTTACTTATGCATCAAGTCGTTCGTTTAAGTATGAAACTTAGAGCTGGATGTTAATAATTGTAAAGTGACACGATCCCTAAAGCCACAAGTTTATTTCGTGTTACGACCAAAATGATGTATCAGATGCATCCTAAACACTGGGAAAACATCAAATTCAGATGCATAAAATATAGACCGCTAAATAAGCCCCAGAGCACAGTCTTACCTTCCGATTGCTAGCAAGAGCAGCTTCATGTTGATCAATGGAGTTGATGCACAAAGCCTGCTCAAATACAGGAGAATTGCATTCGTTAGCATCAAGAAAGAAGATTTGCCATTAAATTTACCTGTTATCTGTAAGAAATAGAAAGTGCAATTCAAATAATAAAAAATTAGGAGAAGAATTACCTCCAAAAGTTCTCCATTTCTCTTATATATCTCCATCGGACTACGAAAAGGCAAAACCTTCTTTGTATGGTTCGTATCTTTTCCCCCAGAACTTTGGAAAGGATGATTATTTGGTGACAAACAAGCAAGAGGAGATCCAGCTGCGCTGCTTGGACTACCAAACCTATCGTCTCTGTCACAAGTTTCCTCAACTTCACACTCTCTTACAATGCTGGGGTACATTTCATTCCATCCTTTAAAGGACTTTAGCAAGGTATGCTGTAAAAACTTCTGGTCTTGAAGCACAAATCCCTGATTAGCTTTCTTAAGCTCAGAACAAATATCCCATAATGCCTCAAATGCTGATAATTCATCTTCAGCAGTCAACTTATCCAGATCATTATTTCTATGACTAAGTTTAGTATCTGGCGCTTTATGTAGGGACAGATAATCTTCAGACCAGAAAAGAGTAGTTGCACCTGGATCTATGCTCTCCAGCAGGATGGATGCAAACCGATTCACACAGTAAGAAGAGATGTGAGTACATGTAATCTTTAGTATCTTCGCCAGAAGTCCTGGAACAATCCCAATGTGGATTGAGACATTGTTGCCATTTACACAGTTTAGTGAAGTGGATACACTGGGATGTCTGCCTGGAGGTAGAAACAAACCGCTTTCTTCATGTTCCGGAGATAGCAGATTTAGCTTGTATTTTAAAAAGCTAGAAACATATCCCCAAAAAGAAGCAACCATGACATGCCATCTCTCTTCCGGAACAGACAACATAACATCCCCAAATTGTGCCTGTGGCATTTGATTCTTGTTCTGAACAGAAGATCCAGCATCATGAATAGGTAAATCATGAGCCACCGTTTCTCGAGTCTCACAAAGCAGTTTTTGTATATCCTTTATGCCTGTCTCATCTGAAGTTCTTGCCATCAAGAGAGGCTTCACAATCAGGAGAAGAACACTGTAATTTCTTTGTACCAAAGCAGATGCAAACAGTAACAAATACTCTGTTAAATCAAGGACAGTGAAATGTGTCCCCACAAAATTTTCTGCAGAAGAAACTGAAGAAAACTGCATTGTGGCTCTAAGACACCATAATGACCAAGACAACCTCTTTTTATACAGCTCTAAAATGGCGCCATAAATATTTTCATCAGCTCCATTACTCCTAAGGGCGAATGACTTCAAGTAGAAACAGTCCATGCTACACATAATGATGTATCTTGCAGAAATATAAAATAATTCTCCAGATACTTCAAGAAATAGCTTGGGAAGGAAAGCATACAATGAGCAACCATCAAGTTCATGGCCTTGCTCCGTCGACAGATATTTATTTATGTAGTCGCGCAACAAGTAGCATCCTGTATACGCCAAACCACCGTTGCAAAATGACAAAAAAGTCTGAAAGAGGAAAAAGGAAAAAACTGACAATCAGTCCTCCGGAAAAAAAAAACCATAAACATAACACTTGTTCCATAAATAAGTAGAGATACCAAGTACATAAGATGTAGAGGAATTAAGGAGAACTTCAGTTGAAAGGATGCAATTGTCGTCATCAGTTCATCTTGAAAAGCTTCAACTGAAAGCTTGTATTCTTCATTCTCTGATACAGTATCCATGTGTCCCTGAAGACATATCATATCATGGTCTACCCAGCTTGGATGTCTCCTTAACATCTTAGACAAGTATTGCATAGACAAGTCTGATCTCATGTGTGATTCTATCCGTAAAGCCACATCCGATGATAGCCAGTTTGATGAAGTTTCATTTAGCATTGCACTCAGCATTTCATGCAGGTATCCAGAGTCAACATTATCAGGCACACTTCCTCCAGTTGAACCACCAATGATGCTCACAGAAGATGAAAGGCATTCCAAAGCATCAAGCTTACATAGAAAAAGATAGGAAAACTTTTTTGAGAATGCAAAAAAAAGATAGGAAAACTATTAGTCCTTCGACGAAAAAAATCTAATTAAAATGAACATACAATGGTACATCCATACACAGGACCAGGCTGGCTGAGAGGGTTGCCTGGCATTCGATAACATTAAGGTATACCCCCTAAACTGACTTATAGAAGAAAAGGTATGATAAAAGTCAATGTGTCTAACTTTGATGCTAAACAGTCACATGACTCACATCAATTGCAAGATAGCAGCACTTATAATGCAAACACTTATCAGCAAAAGAAGCTTAGCCATGGTGGTAGGCCATCCTACCATCGCTCTGACGTGGTATTTAGGAACTTAATCTGCTGTTAGTAGGATTTAGGTTGATCATTTTACCAAAATTTAGTTCAGCCTTGATTTCAAAAGCCTAATCTAAATTGAGTTTATCCAAGTAGTACTTGACATGCAAAAGACGTTCTAGATTGAGGTTGTGCTAGAGAATCACTTTATAAATATCTAATATGCTATTTTTTTTAGTTCTATACATATTTAATATGTTAATACATGAATGCTGCAAGCTATGTATTGACTTGAAAAACGGAACTAATCTAGATCAATGAATTTTCCAAAACTTAAATTACATTTAAAAGGACCTCAGCCGAATTTTGTTATATGAATCTTCTTTACAACAAAATCATTTCCAAGTACTTGAGAGGACATGAAGTTGGTGAAATGTGACAGTTAAAGTATGAGGTTAGGGCATTGGGTGGTGTTTTGTGATAATTCTGTATAGCAAAGAGAAAAATAATGCTTACATATTGGTAAAACAAGTTATATGGAGTAGTAGCGGAAAGAGTTATAATGGAAAATAAATTACAGCCTCCACTGATGTAAGTCAATTAATTCATTTGGTGAAAATTAATAGGTTCAGGTGACCAAATAGCAAAGATTTCATCAAGAAAAATATTTCACTTAGACCTAAACAAGTAAGTTGTGTTCTAATCAAAGTTAGATCAGTTCTGGTCCTTCTGGATTTCAGATCTCAAAGAGGATCATATCAAATTTACAATTTCGGAGTCCTCAAAAGAACC